AGTTCTGGGCCCCTCAGTTCAAGAGGGACAGGGAACTGCTGGAGAGAGTCCAGCGCAGAGCCACAAAGATGATGAAGGGAATGGAGCATCTCCCTTATGAGGAAAGGCTGAGGGAGCTGGGTCTCTTTAGCCTGGAAAAGAGGAGACTGAGGGGTGACCTAATCAATGTTTATAATACGTAAAGGGTGAGTGTCAGGAGGATGGAGCCAGGCTCTTCTCTGTGACATCTGGTGACAGGACAAGGGGCAATGGGTGCAAGCTGGGACATAGGAGGTTCCACTTGAATATAAGAAAAAACTTCTTCATGGTGAGGGTGACAGAGCACTGGAACAGGCTGCCCAGAGATGTTGTGGAGTCTCCTTCTCTGGAGACATTCAAAGCGCGCCTGGATGCATCCCTGTGTGATCTGATCTGGGTGTTCCTGCTCCGGCAGGGGGATTGGACTAGATGATCTTTCGATGTCCCTTCCAATCTCCAACATTCTGTGATTCTTTGTTCAAAAACTTGTATCAGTCTTGAGATCCCAGTCTTCTGTGTCTCATTTAGATCACTTGATATTGGAATAAACATAAGCATTGTCCTTACGTATCTACATAAACACAGGCAAAATAATGTACTGTATAGACAAGGGTGAAGAAATATCACTAGGGAAGTGATATATAACTGAAAATGGTTAAACAACCTCCTTAGGAATAGAAGGGTATCTGACTACTACATTTTTCTGACATTTAAAAATCCACTAGTTTTAGTACCGTTTATGTACTGTGAGATTGAATTAATAAATATGCACATGAAGCATACAGGGTGGAAAAGGAATTACACCTAAGTGCTAAAGAGAGAAAAAAAATAATCCCTTCTGTTTGCCCACAGAACAGCTACACTGGAGTCACAAAAGCTTGTCCTACCAATATCTTAATCACCAGCTTCCTTTGCTGCCTTCTTACACATCTAAAATGCAGTAGCAACCAACTTGCCCACCTCAGTCCTTGAAAGTCATTTTCTCCAGTACAACACACTATTTTGAAAGAGATCACCTAGAAATAAGAATCATATTAATTTCTCCAGCATTAGCAGACAACAGGAGGAGCAGTCTCTCCATCACAGACTATGTTACCTCACCCAACACTGGCCAGTTTCAACTTCAGTTGAGCTTTGGCCTGTTTTGTTTTCTCCTTACACATGCAAACAACAGCTCTATTATCTTCTTGTGAAGCCTGACCTTATGTCCAGAGATCACACAGTTTCTTTTCTGCCTGAGTTCTAAGAAAAGTTCCCTGCTTCAGCGAAGCTGGTCTTCTGCCCCGTTTGCTTGACTTTCAGCAAAAGATTTAAAAAACTGGGCAGCCTAAGCCTGCAAAAGCGACGCCCAAGGGAACACGCTAATGAGGCCCTGAGCAACTGAAGTTTGCTCTTTTGAAATCAAGGGTAGCAACTCTGCTGACCTTTTTTCTCATTACACCAAAAAAAGTAAACTCAACCATTTCAGGATTACTGTGGCCAAGTCAGCCACCTACCATCACATTCCCCACGAGTCCTCCTCCATTCACAAAAAACAAGTCCAGGAGGGCATCCTTCCTAAGTTGGCTCACTGAGTATCTGTGACAAGAAGTTATCTCCTACAAACATGAATAATTTCCAAGACCTGTTCATCACAGCAGCAGGATATTCTCAGCTGATGTCTGGGAAGTTGAAATCTCCCATAAGGACAAGGGCTACCAATCCAGAGATTTCTCTTAATTGCCTAAAGAATAAATCATCAGTGCTATCATCCTGGCTGAGCGAACCAGAGTAGACACCCACAACGACATCTGCTTTGTTTTCCATCCCCCTAATCCTTACCCAGAGGCTCTCAACCACATCATCCCTAACTGTAAGGGCTGTACAGTCAAACCCCTCCCTTACATACAGTGCAGCTCCTCCACCTCACCTGCCCTAGGTCCGCTGAACAGTCTATAGTCCTCCATCCCAGCACTCCAGTTGAGGGACTCATTCCACCACGTCTCACTAATACCTCTGTACTAATACATCATAGCTCTGGGTAGTGACCAACATTTCCAGTTCATCCTGTTTATTTCTCACACTGTGCACGCTAGTGTACAAACATTTCAGACATGCTCCTAAAGCATCACTGCTCCCAGAAGCTGCATTAGCATTGCTACCCTCAGGCAGTGCTATGCTATCCCTTTAGCTTGCCTTTTCTACTGTATAGTTTAATTCAGATGCTTATATACTGCTCCACTATGCAAACTAAAACACATGGACGTTACCCAGACATTCCCTTGAAAAAAAGGCAAACTTCATCTGAATTAAAATGCTAATACATACGCAAACTCAGATGATAAACGTGTAAGTTAGTTTGAAACAGTACACTTAGAGATGGCACCCTTAAAATGTGACATATTGGCTTTGTTAGAGGTTACTTAGGAGTGCACTGTCCTGGTTTCAGCTGGGACAGAGTTAACTTTATTAAGGCAGAGAAAAACTCTCCTGTGTAAAGGAGGGTAAAGGAGAAAAGAACAGTTATAAATGGAAAGAAAACTGCAACCCTCCTGGAGCTGGGGGCACCAGGATCCTTGACTTATGTCAATGATCTTGATAAAGCTGTTGCAAAATTGACAAGCATACCACCCCTTTCAGAAACCCTGCTCACATAATATAGCTTCAATGTGTTGTCACTACTGTGCAAGAGAATTGTGTTATTACTAAAAAAGAGTTACCAGTTAAAGAATAATGCTCATTTAGAAGTCTGTTACACTAAAACATACTTTAGTAAATAGGCTACATACAAACAAATTTTACAAGCTTTTTTCCCCAGCCCTTCCTACAAAGCTTCCATGAATTAAAGGAATATTCTACTCCAGCTTTCAAGGCTTCCAGGTGTCACTGAAACAATTCAACTGAAACAACTGAATGCATATTTCTCATTTAGATTCAGCACAGCTCAAACCATGGTAGGTAGTTTGTAAAAGAATAACACACCATCAGTGAAAAACAATTTTTTAATTTTATGAGTCTTTGGGAGGAGGTAAAAGGAAAAAAAAAATCCAAAATCTTCTGTCAAGAAACCTCTTTGAAACTGATTTTCTTAATGCCAGAGTAGTAATATTAGGCTCTCAAGGATGAACAGTTTTCTTCATTGGATAAGGCCTGCAGCTACCACCCATAAGCTTTAGTCCACACTGCTTTCTTCTTGAACTGTGCAAGAGATCTCAAGGCCAGAAGTGTAACTGTGAAGACAAGGACAAATGACATTATTTTGTGCGGTCCAAACTGGAAAGGATGTGACAGTATTCTCCCTAGTCACTTTACTAACACAGGTACAGATTTAGTTCTCCTTTTACTGACTCTTTTCATGACATTTTCACTTCCTAGCCTGACAGTTTCTGATGCTACTTCCACTGTTCACAAGATACGTTAGTCTCTACACCCCTCTGAAATGCGATGTTGTATTAGGCCTTTCATCTGCTTTATCACATGTTTCCTACTGAAATCATACTGCAATTCACTGACTGGAAATGCAACCCACTGATTCCTCAATTCAATTTGAAAGGCTTATGGGTTTAGGCAAAAAAGTCACATTCTAGTCATTCAGAAGGGAGTTTCACGTTCTAGTATTTAAAAGCAAAAAAACAATGGAAAGCTCCAGGGAAACAATGATTCATCTCAATCATGCCACACCAAGAATATTCTGTCTATATCAGAATACAGAGGAGATTCTCCAGCAGCCCTTAGCATTGTTTCTGGTGGAGATTAGCAGACACAACAGGGGTATTTTAAAATTTATCAGAGTGACTAAAGACTGCAGACCCTTAAAACAAGACTAATTATCCTAGTAATGCAAACAACTTATAACCAGATTCAAAGAAGTCATGTTTAGGCCCAACAAATCAGGTGATTCAAGGGAGGTGCCTTGTGTTAACAGAAAGAAACACAAGCAAACTCAGTTCACTTGAGAGTATTCGTGGTGCCCTCTTAAAATGCCTTGCACAGATTGTATTTACAATCCTGCATCTCTAGGTGAGCAATGGGGTGCATGCTAGGGCCATAGGTAATTACTGTAATTCAAAACATCATGTACTTCCCATCTTTCTTTTCATATATCTTCCCAGCAACCACCATTCCTCTTTCCTTTATTGTCAGACCACTCTACTAGGCTATCATTGCCTGTCTCTTGTCGCTTCCCCACAGTTCAATCTTCAGTTGCACCTGAATAAATTGTTATGTGATTTCTATTCCAGTACTGGAAGGCTTCCAAATACTATGTTGCATTTTATTTTTAAGGCTAACTTAAAAAACAATTGACAGGTCTATCACTGAAATATGCTTGTAGGACCAGATGTACCTTTAGGTCCTTTGTATCTTTAGTGGTACATTGTAAGCGTCAGCCAGTGAGGCAGCAAATATAAGGTGTTACAGACAAGAATGTTAATTTACCTGTAAAGGTTTTCTTAAAGACAAAATACAGCTCTCCTACCTGTGCTAATAGTATAGATTCATCTCACTCCTTTTAATAACTGGATTTTGATCTGTTCTGATAGTTATGGAAAAGTAGGGACCCAATTAAAAATATCCTACCTTTCAGCAGGTCCATGGAAGATTTTGATAATGCTTCCTTAGGACTTTCCATCATATTGATCAGCCAGTCAATAAACTAAAGATTGAAATATAAAGGAAAATCTGAATTAAAAGAGCCTCTGTATCACAACACCACAAATTGTTTTCAGTTTGACAGGCAACATCTGATTGCTGCTAAACTCAATTATCTAATCAGAAGTAGGGGCCAATCAAACTTCTGCCCAAACTATCCGAAAGCCCTAGGGTACATCTCACGGTCAGTACAACTTCTCCCACAGCTGGATCTGAAACTCCTTTTGTTCATTCTCATTATCTCAGCAATAAGTCTCTCTAACGAAGTAGGCACAGTAAATAGTTTCCCTCCGTCTTGCCTGCTCATGCCTTTAACCTATTAATACGATGCTTTCTTATCCGTCTCTTGTCCAAACGATCTACTGCAAACCCTTCAGATCTCTTACTGCTTTTGTCCCTTTTTTGACCTCTCTCATTTTTAATTGTTTTTTTTGTCAGTGCAGGGTGCCTGGAGAACCATGTGGTATTTCAAACTGATCAGGATGATTTTCAGGGCCTAGTCTCAAATTCTCCCCTTAACCCTAATTAAGCACTTGCATACTAACAGCCCACTCTTGCATTCCTCCCAAATTCTGAATTCTGACTTCAGTGGTAACTCTGAGCACAAGAGTGTACAGAAGCAAGACCTTAATGGATTCTAGCGTACACAAAACAGCTAACTCAACCTTTAGGTTTATAACAATACTTCCACATATGTCAAACACAACCAATCTACAGTAGGTTTGTCAAATTAGGTAAAATTTTCCACACTTATTTTCAACTTACACTTAAAAGTACATGACAGACACTACAAACTGCACAGAAGATCTTCGATTGCCCTAAATTGCCACTGTGGTGATGTCCAACTGCAAAGGATCTGTCTTTCAGTGTTTAAAAGACTGACTTGCTACCAGCAGCTGCCAACTTTCCTCTCCCAGCTCTACTCATCTTAAGAGTTTGACTCCCAACATTGGAATTTTTTTTGTTCTTTGCTAGATTTTACAATGTTCTCTCTCTCACATTTTACTTGAGAAACTACATTCAGTCTTTTTAGACAAGTCATATCTGATTGCAAATAAAGAAAAAAAAAAAACCACAAGTCAGATGCAATAGTTACAGAGGAAATAACTGCTCCACCTAAGACTTGAGCTGATCACTAAAAATGGGGTGCTTTCTGATTCTTGGTGAATGCTTACCACTACATGCAATTTTACCTTCTGTGTTTGTTCTTTCCAAGGGTCTTTAGCCAGCAAAAGGAAAATGCTGCTTGGAAGGACAGTGAGAGTCTCTTGCACAGCAAGTTTGTCAGTGGGGTGCTTGCCAATGCGATCCTCAGACAGTTCCAGTAGTACCGTTTGGTGCTTTGGTGGTGACCAGTTAGCACTGAGGCCAAGCAGTAATGGTGCACCATGGTCAGCCCAGGCCACCACAGAAGCTGCAAACAGCCACAGGAGGAAATCTATGTACTAAACAGGAAAAAGGCAAAAATGCACTTTACTAAGTGAAGAATGTAGAAGGGGGAAAAAAAAACAAATAAGAAATCCAGATGGTCATTGTTTTGAAGAGCAAGCCATCTGAAAATTTAGCTAACATTCAAAATGTAAGAACTAAAATGTTTTTAATATTCTGTTATGCTTTGAAGCCGCATAAGCCTTTTTCTAAACTCCAAACTAAAATGTCTACAGAAACGTCAAAACCACGCTCTTCTAAAACTATCCTTTAGATTGAGGCTGATCCACATTTCATTTAAAATGGGGAAATAACTTATTTACAGCAAGCTGACTGCTGAGGGAAGTCGGAGATGGTCACCCTTGTGGTGCTACAAATGGTTGGGAAATATTGCAGCAATGTAACGAATGTCTTTCTGATCTAAGCAGCAGTTTTATGTCCTCAACCAGAAGACCTGAACAGCTGAACAGATATCAGTTCCCGAAAACTGCCCAAGCTCTCTTAGAAATAGCAGCTCTGCAGTTTTGACCTGCTTAGACAGTTCTATTGGTGAATTCAAATTTTTCCTTTGATTGTTCTACATACAGTAAATTTGTAGCAATTATTTCCTTTAGTTGCCTTTAGGTTCTATCATAATTTAAATGCCATGGTTATTTTAAAGTAAGAGTTTTAAATACATGTACAATCACAAAAATTGAGAAGAATTTATCTATGGAGGTAAGATAACAACCTTCTAAAATATAAAAGCATGTGGAATAATACTTATTGCTGAGGAAGAATGCGAAATAAATCAAAACCTCCTTTTTTCCTGAAAGCTGCAAATTATTTTCACAGCATGTACCTCTTTAAGATCGACATTTTGTAAGGCTGTTGACTTGTATGCTAAATTTCTGATGTAGCCCATCAGGTCTAGCAGCCAGTCCATTCTTTTCAGCACTCCTAGAAGAACAAGAACACTGACTCACATAAAACACTAGAACACACTATTTTTCATTAAAAAGCAAGCATAGGGAACAACGATCACCAATACCACTATCACATTTGATCCATGATTGTCACTGACAGAAGGCATACAGGCACTTAAACAGTACAAAAACTTTGCTTATAATGCAGGCAACACACTGCACACACAGAAAAAGGAATGCTGAGGGAGAGTTATTTCACAAAATATCAGCCTGCAGGTCCTACTAACTCAGTCTGCCTATATCACCACTACAGAACCCTAAAGCCTCCCTGTAGTTATTGCTCCAGTACTTAGCATCTAAGTCTAGCACTGATGTCACTGTACATAGGGCAAGAATGTGGGGAGTGCTGTGAAAATCCTCCTACAGTGCAGCGAGGATCAGCAAAATAACATCAAGGCATACAAATAAAATCAGCCCCTCAACCCAAGCCTGGAACTTATTTCATTGATTCAGATTTTGCTGTCCAAAATCCTTTCTACCTTCTACAAACTAATCACTATCTTCACCTTCTAGACCACATGACTTCATACACCACCATTTCTTTCTACTCCTTCCATGTGCCCTCTTTTATGTTACCTCCTCTTTTACCCAAAGGAGCCTCACTTCTCTCATTCAAAACTCACTACGGTTTGAAGTTCTTCAAACACAGCTGGCAGCTAAGGCATCTATCAATATAAAGCTTTCAAGTTGTTCCATGAACACAGGCAGCAGAAGATCCTTCTGCCATGAAAATGAGGAGACCTCATTCTTGCCTCCCTCTGTTCTTGTTTCTTCCTCCCCTCCATTCTGATTTCTTCCACGTTTATCTTCCTGTGTGATTTTGCTACTTCTTTTGCATTAGCTCCAGTGCTTTATCAGACCCTTAGCTGAGCCAACTCATTAACCCAACAGATAACTATCTGGTATGGTTATGAAGAAGCAGAAGGGCAGTTTGTTTCCTGTGTTAACTCAGCGCAAGGAGTTCAGAAAAGCAAGCTATCTCCTTGGTTCAACCAGTCTCACATGAACACAACCCCACCTACTGTGTCACACACCAGTAAGTCAGATATTAGATCTGAAGGTTAGCAGAGTTGCACTGTTACTGGTCTCTGATGTGCTGTGTACCTTTGTAACACGACCTTACACTGAAAGTCTAAAAAGATTAGGAGACATGGATCTAGTCAAAACTCAGGTCAACAAACCACCTGGATGAGATAAATTACTTGTAGCTGATCTACAGAAAAACAAAGAATTGGAGAAAAACATAAAAGCAATGTTTGATGCAACTGTTTGAAGAGCAGAAAAATTCTGAAGACTGAATAATTTCTAATATGGAGAATCTGGAATCAGGTTAAATCATCTTAAAATTATTAACCAGGTTAGATCCATTCATATCTGTTTATTTTGTTGCTGATTCCTCTTTAAGCTTGACCTTACCTGTGTTTTCATGGCTCACAATACGAGCATGATAGAAACTATGCAAGAGCATCCATAAGATATCTTCTTTCTGGTGATATCCTGCCACAGTATCAATCACAGCACTCAAGTTCATCAGAGGCAGTCTGCCTTGAGAAATTAAATACACTTTCATGAATGTGGCCTTCTCTATATTGTTCTGCAAATGCAATTTAAAAAAATGTTAAATGAAAATGTACCTTTCTTGTAAGAACAGTACATGCTGCAATCCTCTTTACAAACAAGGGGGAGAAATTCTTTGATTATCTACCAAGCTCATTTTTCCTCAAGACAAATTATGAAACAGAAGACTGTAGATATTACTTGAATTTGACACACTTCTAAACAGTCCAGCACCAGTGCAGTTCAACTGTTTTCATACTGCTTTACATTCTACATTCCCCTTTAAACTGAAATGAGCCAGCCTGACAGTTCTGGAGACTCAAGTCTTCTTGGAAGACAGATTGAGTGCAGTAATAAAAAGGGTTTTCTTAAATGGCGTTTTCCAGTGTGGAAATAAGAACTCAAAGATATGAGGCAACGAGAGTTCAGTTTCCCTAACCTATTTAAATGCTTGATTCTCTAGTGAATCTGCCAGTAAACAGAACAACATGGTTTCATGTCATGGATGTTTAATTAATCAGAGGGCTGGAGCACCTCCCCTATGAGGACAGGCTGAAATAATTGCGTTGTTCAGCTTGGAGAAAAGAAGGCTCCGAGGAGAACTAATTGCAGCCTTCCAGTACCTGAAGGGGGCCTACAGGAGAGATGGGGAGGCACTCTTTATCAGGGAGTGTAGTGACAGGACAAGGAGTAATGGGTATAAGCTAGAAGAGGGTAGATTTAGACTAGACATTAGGAAGAAATTTTTCACTGTGAGGGTGGTGAGGCAGTGGAACAGGTTGCCCAGAGAAGCTGTGGATGCCCCATCCCTGGAGGTGTTCAAGGCCAGGCTGGATGAGGCTTTGAGCAACCTGGTCTAGTGGAAGGTGTCCCTGCCCATGGCAGGGCGGTTGGAACTTGATGATCTTTAAGGTCCTTTCCAACACAAACCATTCTATGATTCTATGTTTCTATGTTTGTTTATAAGAACCTGATCTGAAACCATTAAGTCCTTCCACACAGGTTATTTCCTTTGCATTTATCCTGCTAAGAATTCCACTGCTAATTGATTCCACTGTTAAGCTAGAAGCTGAAGGCTTTTCTATTCCATTGTCACCCTTAGCCACCTTGTCCACCAGGAAACATTCTGAGTGTGAATGCAAATATAGCACATTAAGTCAAGAACAAAAGGTTGTTCAAAGTATTTCACATTTTTAACAAAAGGAAGGATCCACAAATTCAAGCACAGCTGGTCACCAGGATGCGTTTGCAGTCCGTTTCAAGTAGGTGGTTATGTTAACTAAAGAGGACTATGGTCTGCTGTTTGCATCATTGGTCAGGGATTCAGAAGACCTAACACCATTCCTGTTTTGCTAACAGAGCCCTGCCTGAACTTGACCAAGTTACTTAGACTCTCCAGTCCAAAGCTCCCAGGTGAAATCAGTAGTATTTCAGTTGCCTTGAGAAAGTTTTGGATATGGGCTCTTACCACTTTTGCTTCTCTGTGCTGCCTGCAAATTAGAGCCAGAACACTCTTACTTGCATGGCAGATAAAACAATTGATGATCCCAATGAGCTAAACACTCTGGTGACAAGCAAAACAGTAAGGCGTGCTTGTTTCACATGATCTGGTGTTAAAAGACCATCATTACCTTAGGGATCTGGATAATGCGATCAATCTCTGAATCGGCTATTTCTGAGATACATTTTGCTACATCAATGTATGTCTCCAGTTTGCATCTCTAGAAACAGAAAAGTAAATGCACGTTTAGAAATATACTTCCAGGTTTCTTCATCATTAAAACTGGTGAGTCCAGGAACTTTGTTAATGATCATGACAAATATTTAATCTAGTCTCTAGCCCTGTTTTATTTATTCTATTTCAGAAATTCTGCATTTGCTGGGGACTTCAATGTATTTAATTAAAGGAATAATGGTATCTGAAAGCTTTCAAAGAGTTTCTTTTATTTTCAATGGAAAAGTGTCCTTCCTTGGAGATATTATCTGTAGCTAGATAGTTTCTTTAAATCACTGTGAGAAGCTGAATCCTCTGTAGGAAAAAAACCCCACCTTTCTGATTGTTCTCTGCTTCTGTTTCAAGAACATTTTTTTCAGTACTAATACTGTATTTTTTCTATTACCAAATCATTCATGACGGAAAAGTGTACATTAAATTGGTTTTACAACTTAGTCATATTCTAAAGAATATCCGAAAATAACTTGAAATTATGCAGACATCTTAACTACTACCAGTAAAAATTTTACATCTACGTCACGTTCCAAATCTGTCAGGTCAGTGCAGAAAGATGGGACTTACCATCAGTAACAATATCCAGTTATAATGTTCATACACTTCATACTTATTCTTTACCTGAATCTCATTTGGTAGAAGCTCAAATATTTTCTCCACAGCCTGGCAGAGAAAGCTCCAGCAGTACTGGGCAGGGTCTGGAAGTTTCATTGCCTGCATGAGCCCCTGTAAAACAGACTGGCAAATTTCTGGGGTTTTTGTGCAGTTCTTCACTTCAAATTGTTGTATCAGGAACACTTCTGTAAAAGACTGTAGCTTGTCTTCTGCAACATGTTTCATCCACAAGGGCAGGGACATGCAAAGGTATTTCTGGGTTTTCACCTGAAAAGCAAAATCTTTTGCTTAGTTTCAGATTAGATCTCTTTGCTGGCCTTTAACTACTATGATGAAATTATTAAAAAGTGGCTCAAACACCACTTAAAAAAGCACTCAGAATCATAAATACTTCTCAATTCTTCTTCCCTCTTTTGATGAATTGCTTGAATTAAAGAGTTCAAACATGTCAATATTCTGTTTTCCTTAAAAATTGAGGAACTTTCTTTCAATGAACCCTAGATATCATGTCTCTGTACCAGCAGGATAATTGTGATTTCTCTATATGGTGCCCACTGCATTCCTACATAAAGCATACAGACTGACCAGACAGCCAAGGACAGATGTATGGTACTCCTACACCGTTATTATTGCTAGCTAGTGAGAAGGCATGAATAATTATGTTGAAGGAATTCAAAGCTTACACACTGTGTGGCTGAGCTCATTTTGTGATCTCAAATCCCCACTGCAGTGAGAAACTGGTGCTCAGAAAAAAAAAAATCTTTCATTTTTTGGTACCTTAGCAATTACATATCTTAAAACTGCCACCAAGTGTTTGCATATCTGTGAAGACTAACAAATTAAAAATTACAGGACAAAAATACCCCTTGAAGAACTGGAAAAGATCACAGAAATCCACAATGAATTTTCTGAGAACTGTCATGAACCTGCTCCTCAACTTGTATAAACTGACCGAACTGCAGAGTCAAGTGCACTGTGGGATTCAGGGAGCTTTATGTACTGTATAATGGAGTCCACGTTGTGCCTCCATCAGAAGAACTGCACCATGGTGGAGGATAAGACCAAATTTGATTATTGGTTAGTCTATTGACTATCTACAGAATTAAGGCAAGGTTTTCACTAAGTAACACATTTTACTACATCAAGAGACATTGCTGGAAGCAAGAGGCTTTGTCTTTTGGACAGACAGGTCGGACTTTTTTCTAAGACTATCAGCTGGTATAATAAAAGATACTTTTTCTCCCTACATTTCATGCCTTCTTAGATCTCTAGGTTATCAGAGCTATAGCATGAAACAAGAGAGAGAAGAAAAGTGTAAAGCAATCTAAACCAGTAGAGCAGATCTTAAGTCTGCCTTGAAATTCAAGGCCCCAGCATAGCCTTTGTCTAATTATAAATACTTGCCAAGCAGTATTTCTGCAGAATTCTGAACCCAGTAATCCTATTCTGCTGAGACATACTAAACACAATCACTGAAGATTCTCATAGGTGCTGAGGTCCCACAAATTTTTTGACATACATACACTGAGACTGTAGACAAGGGGAGGAGCCACCCACATCCCCAAAAGCATTGCTGCATTTTGAGATGACTGAGCCTGCGTCACAGCCAGTTGAAGGCAGAGATGTTTTACCTCATCACCTGAAGCAGAAGAAAACAAACAGAAGTTATGAAGAAAATATTTTCACTTCAAATTTGTTCCCAACTCAAAAAAAAATTGAGGGTTATTGTTCTACTAGAGCACTGCATTAAAATTTGCTTTTCTAGAGATGCTGCTTAAAGCTTTTAACGTATACGTGTTGGAAGTCTCCTCTTCCCATCCATGCACTTTCAGCAATAAATCTCATTATTTGTCCAAGTTCATTCCAATTCACTCAAGAATAAAAATGTGGGAATTGTAGGAAAAGTAAGAATTAAAAAACTTCTTGCCAAATAAAGAGAAGATTTAATCTAGAGAAGGAGAAATAAGTCAATTTTCCTTCCTGCTAAATGCAGGAGTAATTAGCATTTGTTCACATGTTTCTACTCTTCCACGTACCCTATGTTCATATAGTATGTCACAGAACAGAGGTTAGTCACTGTTACTGCTCTGGGTGCTTGGTTGCAGTATTCTCCAAGTTAACTCATGGGAAGTGTACATAGAGATTATGATGGTTATGGAATCCTTACTGGTTTCTCTTTCAAGTCCTCTTAAGGACTAGTACAGCCTGTTTCTTAATAGAGTAACTAGTCACGAATATGTTGAAGAGGTACTTGGAGCAATGGCATGTCTTCTATACAGTTCACGATTGCTACAGCAACATAACTACAATTTAAGTATTATACTAGCATATGACCCATCAGGCAGAAGATGTCAGCACAGAACTTAAACAGGTGCTTTGCAAGTTAAAATGTTCTTTCAGTAGCGGAAGTGGCAATATATATAGCATGACTTTTATGAAGTTCACTAACATTACTGCATGAACAAAGCAAAGATTTAAGAGGCTAGCATCAGGCTGTTCAAAATAAATTATCTTATACAAGAACTTGTAGAGGGTGAAATTGTAACAAGATATTTCAGTAACCAATTGAAAAATTCTCACTAGCTCAGACTGCTAAGACACAGATTCTGATTTGCTTATGATTGTTCACTTCAGAGCACTATTGAATAACAAACGGTTACTAGTTTGACCACGTTACGCGGTTTCTGCTCAACAACAACTGCAATAAACCTTCTAAGATGGGAAAGCAATCTGTAGTGTTCAATATGTTTACAGATGAACCAACCTTCACAGCAGAATTTGTGAAACATTTAAGGTTCATAAACAGAGTAATGAATTCTCAGACATGAATAACAATGACCTACAGAATCCAACAGAATTGAGCACACAGTGCAATTTTCATTAAAATATTAATGATGTAGCTGTTCCAGAAAAAGTGTGTTAGAGTGCCACATTTCTAGGTGGACTGTCAGGTCATAACACAACTGTTTTGCATCACACTTTCTAGCACAACATAAAAATGTCTCAATAGCACAGAGCAAGACATATTTTTGCATGTATAATCTAGGGAAGGGTGTGCAACTTCAACACCACTACAGAGAGACAGTAAAGAGAAATTATGTATAGAAATGTAGACTACGATGCTGTCTGAAGTCAAAAAAAACATAGCCCCAAACCCACGTACTGGTTCCTCTGGAATTCCCCTGATTTACAAAATTAAGACTCCTAGGTGAAAAACAGGAATAAAAAAATCCATACATTTAACAAGTTTCAGCTATTCATGAGGTTGCACACAAATTTGCATCAGCAAGGACTCCAGAGCACAGTATAGGAAATTTTTTCACTTATTCTTACAAAGGACTTTACAATCAGTCGCAAGAATACCAAATAAAACAGAAGTTGCAGCTGAAGTATAAGTAAAAATGTTTAATACAGAATCACAGAATAATGAAATGGTTTGGGCTGCAAGGGACCTTAGAGATCATCCAGGTCCGATCCCCCTGCCGCCGGCAGGGACACCTCCCACTAGACCAGGTTGCTCAAAGCCCTCATCCAGCCTGGCCTTGAAAACCTCCAGGGATGGGGCATCCACAGCTTCCCTGGGCAACCTGTTCCAGTGTCTCACCACCCTCACAGTGAGATACACCGAGCAGAAAAACATTATCCAAGCTGTCCAACACAATACTTCAGGATCAAAGCTACTCTCCAGCCCGAAGAAAAAATGCTCTTAGGATCACTGAAAAAATCAGGATCACGATGGGATATGCTTTTCTCTGTCACCCAGCGTAATTTTGTAGAAAGTATTTCAGACTAGCAATAGCTAGATGAACCACAGAGCAGTTCAAGCTTGTGATAAAGCTGCCTGCAGTGTCTGATGCAGGCACTGAACCAGCATTTAGTGGTACTAAAAATAAGATACAATTAGTTGAGTTTTATGACGGGCTCTTCTTACTGTATAGAGTTCAAATGAAAAATTTGGTCCAATTTCACCAGTATTTTAGGGAACTTCCAATACTGCTCCAAACGTCTCAGCTCTGATCTTCTCTACTCTTTCTTGAGTTAAAACAAATTGTGTCCACACAGTGATCACAAATATAAGTTTGCAAGCATTAAAAAGTTAGTCTTGAAAGCACAGTGAACTCTTCAATCCCTGCTGTAACTTCAAGCCCTGAAGTGGGCTCTAAAGTTAGTGAAAGCTATGTTAGTAAAGAAGTCTTGTGACAAGTACAAAAGACTTAATAGAAAACTATGAATCTTACCAAAGTTTAGCCTCATCAAAGGAGAAAGAATGGATGCCCAGTTTACAGGTGGATACTGATGGCTTTCTCCAACTAATGCAATGGGTCCCAGTGCTACTTTCATGAGCTCAGCTGGGACAGATTCAGGGCCTACAACAGAAAATGAAATCAGAGTCTGAATTTTATACACACACATTTGCTAAACAGCTCAGGAAAAGAATGTGAACACTGCACTGAAGACCAATCTGTAGTGAAGAACTGAAAAGCATTATAAAATTTCTGTTATTTCTTTTTGTACCCGAGAATTAGCTCTCTCTTTTCTGTAATCAACAGTTTTATTTTTAACATTAATGTCCTATCAAAAAAGGCTTTTTTGTTATTGATAAATAGAAACTTTCTGGTTCATTCTCCTTGAGCCAATTTCTGAGTTAATTACAGATATTCCTCATCAAACAGGGTAGCTGTTTTGCATTTGTTCGTAGGAGAACAGAGAAGTTTTCCAACACTGGTCTCTTTCCCCATCATGTAGGTGCAGGCCACGAAAATTATAAGACAGGTGTTAACCTTTGTTGCATACTGTGTTACTTAAAACATAGGAAATTAACTTAGGGAAAGTCCTCCTTGAAACAAGCCATGGGCAATTTTTACCTCCATTGAATGCAAAACTTGCTTCATAGGACAGCAGTGAGCTCACTTAGTTACACACAGGAATAATCTTCTCTGCTTTATCTCCCTTAGCACTGTACTCCAAGACATCTCTCTTTTACAAGCACTCCTCATGTAAGAGCATACTTTCTTCAGGTTCTTTTGAATTTATCATACATAGCAGTAACCCATCTGAATACCACTCTGTTATGGAAAATCTTAGCCTAGGATCATGGAAATAAGGGGCAGCATAAAGTTTGCCTGATGACGGAGTATTCCTGAGGATACATGCTAACACTTAGAGTGATTAGACTTTCATTCCCACAGGGAAGATACGTCACCTCACAGACACAGAGGGAAGGGGAAAGGGTTTAAAAAGCCATAAAAATTCAGTGGAGAAAACTAAAGCCCTAGCTACACAATTATACCTTATCTTTTGAGTGTTAATCCATTTTTCGTTTAGAGATTAAATATTCTACACTAGTGAAGTTCAAATTAGTATTCAGAAAAGTTATCTTAGCAAATAAAAGTGGTTTATTAGGGTCACCTTTTATAGTCGTAACAAATTTCCCAGGGGATATTGTAGTTTGATCTCTTCTTACCTTTCTTTCCACTTTCAACAGCAAAATCAATGGCTGCCCTGATAAAGCTGCTTTCAGGCAAGTAGCTAAAATCTGGAGGAACTGTGAAGACAAAAAGACTGTTTATATACTGAAACATGTCAGCAGAAATTATAACTTCCTGCTCCCATGTAAATTCAAAGGCCAAACCAAGCTATGTTTGACTAACTAATTCTGTAGGCAACGCAAAGCATTTGGACCACAAGATTATGGAGATGCATTGGCCTTTCCACTTTTAAGGCAAGCTATACATTTGTGTTGGTGAGAGGTACCAGATCTGAAAAAACTAATTCACTGACCAATTGAAAAGCCAGGGATAAGAACTTTTCTTAAAATATATCGGCCACTGCGAGTCATGCTTTAAAAGGGAGACCTTCAAAAGCTTAGTAAGCTTAATATAGCAGACACATTCTATATGTATGTATCCTCAGGTACACATGCCAAGATTATACAGAAGTAGAAGCTCCAAGAATCTTTTTTCTGTGATGAAGAAGTTTATCCACACTTCATATTATTGGTTCCCAACTTGGTTAACACTGAAGTGAACAGCTTCCACTTGATTATTTCCCTCCTAATACTGGTATTTCATCAAAGGTATACTCCTGCCTTTATTGTACCAACGGATATTGAAACAACACCAGAAGGCAACGATGTATCAACAGAATATGAATTTCTGTGCTAATTGCTGCACTGAAAGGGAGCAGAACACTACTTTTTTTACTTCAGCTAACCAGAGAAGACCTCTTCCAGAAAAATACTTTTGAAAAGTCAGTTTGCTCGTTATGGCTTTTTTACACACTGGGAAGTGCTAAAACAAAGAGTAGTTTAATCATTTCTCAGGGCATGGAGAGGAGAATGTAGATGTCAGCCACACATGCCATACACACTGCAAAACTTCTTTACAATTTATTCTACAAAAGAACAAAGACAGAAGCAATATACAAGTTTGACCAGAACAACTTAGAATCTTACTTTGACGCTGTAAGTGAAAGCAGATAGGAGGGATCTGGCACACAGGACCATGAGGTCTCTGATTCAAAGGTTGTCATGTCATTTAATAGGGCTGCAATGTCTAGCCTGTATTGTCTAATTGCTGCCTTTTTACTTAGGTGCTACTTCTATATGTTCATTAAGCAACAATAATAAATCATCTTACCAGATGCCCTGTTCTGGGTAGAAGACAAACAGGACATATGAAGGCATCCCAGAAGTCCTGCTGCATTTGTCTGAAGGCCAATCTGCCCAGAGAAACTGATTATCTGTTGAGACAATAAACCACTAGTTAGACAAATTTCCCTATGCTCCTTTGTTCAAGCTGGACATGGACATTATGCACTTTCTTTAAACAGATTTGGCCTGTTTGTGCAAAGTGTCACAGTACCCTAGTGCATTATCCAAAGCAGGAAACAGAGGCTATCTTCTTACCTGTGTAAGGGTTCTGATGACTTCATTCAGCTTACTTTGAAACTGGGAGGACTGAATGATCTCAGTTTTCAGCTGACAAAGCAAAAAAAAAAAAAAAGAATTTTATAAGGGGGGAAAAAAGAAACAACAATATGGAGAACAGGTGCTGAAAAGACAGATTACATTTGCACACATGCGGAGTGGAGAAGAAAAGGAGAAAGCCTACATGGCTGTAAACATTTCCCCAATGGCACTGCACATGGGCCATATGATGGGAAAATGGAACAGATCCCATTTTACACATTGTAATTCTATCCTGCTTGGTTCATACCCAACATGAATCACTATTGCACAAATGGGATGCCCCTGTATTATAACCACTTCTGTAAGGATGCAGACAATGGAATTCCACCTTGCCTTCTACCAAAAGTTCTGTAAGAGATAAAGGGACCATTTGCTTTCATGTTCTCACCTGTATCATGCCTGCTTCAGAGCCCACCAGCGCAACCAGCCCATTCAGAGCAGCCAGACGATGCATTGTTGGAGAACCCTGGAAGCGTAATTCAGGATCAGTGAGTCAATGTGGCCACAGAACACTACTGGAGGACAAAACACCTATTTCTTCAAACTTAAAAACCATGACTGCTATCAGTTGTACACCTCTCATCCCAACAACCCTTTCAGGTCAGACTCCAGTTTGCTGAATAATTATCCATCCCTCTCTTGGTGAATGAAGGCTGTATATGGAGCTGCCCCCTCAATCTGAAATCATCACGTAGTTCTTCCTGACAAATCCCTTTCTTCTAGTGCAGTTTGCATTCCACTAAACATGCCAGTGCAATTCAACTCTGAAACACTGTTTCTTTATCGATACTTACCTTCAGTTGCAATCTGAATGTGTAAGTTTAGAGCTTGATTTCAAACATGCAAATTTTGTTACAATGAGATAAGTTAAAATTATTATAACAACTGAGGCACTGTAATCACCATTCTGTTGGTCTAATTTTGACAAGTAGCACCTAATTTCACAAGGCATCTTTGTTTAATAACCTAGATTTTATCCTTGGATATTGTTCCATATTAGTAAAGATTTTCCATATTAGTAAATATTGTTCCATATTAGTAAAGATGTCCAAATTAAGATGTCATTGAGATAAGTATTTCCCATAAATCACCCAAGCAGAAGAAAAACTGTTATTTTTTCCTTTAGCAAACAGCCCCAAAATGTATTTTTGCTTCCGAATATCAATCAAACAGCATGTTCAGATAGTCCCAACTTCTCCTAGCATGACTCCTGCAATAGCAAAGAAAATTATGTTCCTACTGTTAATTTAAAATCACTTCCTCCCACCTGCTCCCTGCAAAAAACAGGATATGAAGTCTAACTCCTTTACCTCTGCAAGAACAATTTTCATCCAGGCTGACATAAGTTTGTTACTTAGGTCTTCAGCTTTTCCATGTCCACAAGCTGACAATCCATGTACTATTGCACCTAGAGCTAAAGCAAAACCATGGGTCTGTAAGATAAAAAAGACACATTAAAAAACAGATATTTCAAAGGATTCTGTATTCTTTTTAATATTAATTACCAAAATATTACTTTTGTCTAAAATACTGGAAGTTTTCTTATTTCAAGTATTTTATCATGTCAAGTGACACAGGATTTTCTGAGATTAAAAACTGATCTTTGGCACATAGATTGCTCTGGAGCCTTTATTTTAGCTGTTGCAAAGGCAGTTTGTTTTGACTTCCTTTTTTCCAAATAAACTTTCTAAACAGTTAATTAGTGTAATAGCAGGCTTTGATTCAAAGTGGTTGCCACTCCTCCTGCCCCCCTGCCTTTTTTTTTTTCTGGCAAGCATTTAACAAAAAAGAATATGCATCAAAATACAGAGATTATTTTTTACTTTTTTAGAGGGTAACCCTAGGACACTAGGGATGAAACAGACACCTGAAGGAAGGTGTGGCTGTGGTTATGATGCACTGTCTTGAGGCTAAGGGAAATTAAAAATTCAGAAGAGCACAGCAGGTGTATTTTCCTACCAAGAAAAAGAATCTAAAGAAACACATTATAAGAGAAAAATTGCCAGAAAAATCTGCACCTAAGACATGTAGAACTCAAAAGTACCAACTTCCCTTCTAAATGCAATTAAACATACAAAATATTTTTATTTCACTGTCTAGTAACTGCTGTACACCTGTAGACAATGCATCAACAGATCAAGTGGTAGCCTTGGTAAACTGCATTGTATATACAACATGCTCACGGTTAGTTTATGCTGAAAGTAGATCAATATATTTTTTTTGTAGTTACAGTCTTGATAAAGCAGTATCCAATATTAAAGATATATAAGAGAAAAACAGAACTGAAGCAAAGCCCAAACTGAATTATGACCTGCTGATTATTTTCCACTAATGCCCGTAGCTTGTTCATGGCCTCCTCAGCCTCAGCTGCTTCTATGATTCCAACACTGAAAGCAGAGACACAGGAACAGGCTACAGAATAGGCAAGTACCTGAAAAAAAAATATTTAATTCTGTTAACCAGTGTCTGGTCTAATTCACTGCAGCAATGTGCAATGTGCCAGCATGACAAAAAAGCCACGACATTGTCAATTTATACTTTCAGATGTTTATTCCCTCTCTGTAAGATTCTTCATTGATGCTAACATTAAGCAAATATAACTAAAGCTTGGAAGTACTTCTGCTTCATGTAGAAGATCAAACTCCTGATCTTCCACTCAAACGCAGTTATTCAACACCAGGATCTGATCATTATTTATGTGACCACACACAGCATGCTTTGATCCCATCAGAGTCACAAGCACATCCACAAGGCCAGAATTGGAGCATGTAATAGAACTGTCTCCCACACACAGTGCATGATACCAGCCTCACATCCTGGCAGACAGATTCACAAGCAACACTGATTTTCTGTTCTTCAGCCTTAGACATGGAGAATAAGGAAATGAAGTTTGAACCTTCAACAGGGCAATGAGGACAACTGTTTAACCTCCTTTGTACCAAAGCCAAGCAACAGAAGAACACATGACTATTAAAGGAATTAGGGAGCACCTACCTACTGTGCAGGTCTGACAACAATTTGACTTGGAGCAAGTAATGCTCAGATTGTAATTCTTGCTGCAGAAGGTCGAAGTTACCTCTCAAGTACAGGATTATATCCCAGATATTTATAGGTCTGAAAGAGCCTCTTGTGCATCTCACAAATATAGTACTCTAGAGTGCTGGCTAAATTTTACTTGTGTAATAACCTGTACAATTCCTTACAGAGGTTTTATTTGAAAAGGGAAGGTTTTGATTCTCATCCCAAACTATCTCATGATGTTAAACAGCTGCTGCCTTTCATCTCAGAAGTTGCTGTACCGAACCCAATTTAAGTTCAGTAAAGCACTTTGAGACGTCTGGGGAGAGATAAACGATTTCACAGCTGTAAGTCATTTTAATGCATGAACCATAAACTGCAAAACGCTAGTCTCCAACACATATGTACTGCCAAAAAAATTAAACTCCATTAAAAAGACCAGTAATAAAGAGCTTTTGGAGCAGTATCAAGAGAGGAAAGAGAATTAAACTACCAATCTCTGCTAATTCCCTTAAAAAAAAACAGAGGATTATGCAACTCAGCTCTTCAGGTGCTGCAGGTTTACACACATCAGGTACAGGGTTGATTTTTTTTTTATTTTTTTTTTTTTTTTTTTTTTGTGCAAAACACCCGCTTATTTTGGTTCTTGTTCTCTGTTGTAATATCATCCAACTTCATCAGTTTTCCTTCTAAAATTTTACCTCAACAAGGTTACAGACTTAGTGCATGGACTATGTCAAAACTTACAGGATATATCTTGGCAAAATAACTTGAAATGCATGCTCAAACTTAGCAGAGCTCAGTTTAAATCTTCAAAACATAGTTATAAAGAGAACACCAAATGGGGCCATAGCAGCATTCACAGGTGTAAGATTCACATTAGCTAGTGACAGCAGCTTTCAAAGAAGGAAACAGAAGGCATACTGAAAGAGGAATTATAAGCATTAAGGGTCTCTCTGAGATTAACTTGCTGTCAGCTTTCTAGTAGATCAGATGAGCAGTAAACATCTGCATATGAGAAGCACTCAATATCCAGTTACTCAGGACCCAACTTTCAACAATTTAATTTAAGTCATTAAAGAAATACTTTAAAGAATGATGTCTGACCTTTTAAAGCAGTTTTTTAATTTTTATGCAGCATAACAGGTTATTCTGTTATTCCTATGGCTTCCTTCAGCAGATATAAAACCATACATTGTGAAGAAACAATAGAAACAAGCATTCCGGTACTACAAAGCTTCAGTAAAAAGTCTATAGTTATTAAAGGGAGGCAACAAAGTAAAAGGAAGATTTAAAATTTGCAATAAAATTGGTCATACCTCCTGGACCCATCTGCTTTGGTCCTCACTGCTGTCCAGGTATTTGCAGAGCTTTCGCAATGAAACGGACACATGAACTCGTGATTCTGTTTGGCTACTGTGACTCATAAGTGAAAGAACAAGTCCTACTCCCAAAATACATCCAGTGCTTAAAGAAAAGACAAAAGAAAAAGGACTAAGCATGCTTTGGCTGCTCTGAACTCTCGTTTCACCCTAACATGGATTGCTGAGCAAAAAGACCTTTTAGCTGTGCCCATCCACTACCCCTGTAGATAATTACTTACCAGTCAATTTCACAAATGGTTTTTATTTCACACATAGGTGATGCTTTTCAGGAGATACAGGATGAAAGAAGAGCATAGGAAGAAAATATACGTTAAAATAATAAATCCAACACATATAGCTTCATTGTTCCTTCTGTCCCTGAAGAGCCAACAGCCCCATCACAAGCACATCCACTAATATGAAGGAAGTATGGATCCAAACTTCTACATCTGATTTACACTGACATCCCAAACTCTGATATCCCAGTTAAGCATACTAATTGCAGATCCACTGGCTGTATTAGGGTCTGCTGCTTCCAGACTCCTGCAAGAGGTGTTCCAGTTTGCAAAAATAATGAAATTAGTGATTGAGACAGAGAGCAGCCAAGATGGCTATATGGATCAAGCTATTCAAGTGCACTTCAGAACATGAGTGTCAGGTACATATTCTAATTAATATGTACTAAAATACACATTTGCAACAGTGGACCAGCTTCAACAGGGCAGACATATTCAGCACAACTAACAATTTGATGCTGAAGATACTCAAAACTGCAACAAAGAACAACATGGCTTCAAAGTAGATCATTTAATAGGGCAGCTCGCACAAACAGCTTCATGGTCTCTACCTCTTTTTCAGATTTGACAAGAAATTACATTCTGGTCCAGAAAACTCTTACTAAATTCAGCACCTCTGCTCCCACAACAAGTGTCAGTTTCCACAGGTCATAAGTCATAATACTGAGAAGTTTCAGAGAATTTCCAAACAGCTCTGGCTGCCATCATGAGATATTAAAAGCACAGCACATACTCACTGCTCTGAAGGTGATCTCTCACTGGCACACATAAGCAATAGCTTAAAGAAGCAGCTCTTATCTGAAGATCTTTTTCCCCTCGTGCATCTCCCTGAGCATGCCAGTGACAGACACTGCATGTACCTACCAAGCAGTCAAATGAATGAACGTGGCTAGGATCTTAGGCATTCCTCTAAGCTTCTGCTCTCCAACTTGAAAACGGGAAGAGTCACTGCTTTTACTCAGCTAAGTAAAAAATAAACTTCTGAGAATAACTTCAGTCATATTTATAAGCTAATGTTTTTCAACAACTGGGGATGAAGATTATGAGCATGGCTAGAAGACTCAGAGTGGTATCTTGGCAGTGATGTCTTCTTTTTCCAGCAAAGAAGATGAAAGAAACCTTTGGAATCAGTATTTTTAAGTAACTGGCATATCTGAATTCACGAAGAGCCAACAAAATAAGAACATGACTTATAAGCAAGTTTACATTATTGCTTCTTGAAAAAAATTCACAGAAATAAAACAGTTTCTAATTAGAGCTACAATTTTTTAATGTTGTTGACTCTTAGCAAAGACCCAAAATGTAAGTGGGGACTAAAGCAAGAGTAAAACTTCACCTCCTCTGCTCCCCTTTTTGTAAGGAGCAATTGTTTTCACTTGGCCACCTTGTTTGTAATCTACATAAAATTAATATTTAAGTGCACTTCACCTACACAGTATCTCTGATTTCCCACCACATTTTAAGTATTTCACTGCCAGTGGATCAGACGTACTGCACTACTGTCTTGACTCATCTTTGAATCTACTGTCATTTATTTCAGTAATGTAACTTGGCAGGGCACAGGGCAGTACAGTCCATCACATCACAGAATGACAGACCATGAACAAACCATAAAACAAAATAAAAGGTTTTGTATTTTAGGATGAAGGAAAACTGGTATTTTCCTGATAATCCTAATAATACTGAGGTCAGTGGAGTTTGACAGGCTTTTCTAAGAACAATACACAAGTTTGATGACAGTTTTTATTTAAAATGCCTTAAAGTCAAATCGAACAGCTACTGACTTTGCAAAAACTCCCCAAAAAGCAAGTCAGTTTAATGTTCCACACAGCAACTTAAAGGAAGGCTGCTGTGTATTTCAAGTTTCTCTTTACTCAACATGTATCAGTGTTTATAATTTGCTCTATATTTCTTCAATATTTATTCTTACAGATGCAAGCTAGTTGTGCCATGCACTAACTTTATACAAAAAGGCATATTTGCAAGGGTCTTGCAGAATTCATCCTCAACATGGGAAACGTAACAAGGCAAGCCAGAAAACTCTACTGCCCCTTGGTATTCTCAAAAACTTTTTACATGTAAACCTTTCAAAAGGTCAGAGTTAATCCAATCTTCAACATATGTTTTTCTTTGTTTGCAGGAAGGTTGGGGGGGTCATATAGCTGAGGGAAGCAAAACCTTCCAATACAGAGACCATATGTACTGCTATGTTTGTCAGAACTGTAACCCTCCCTTTGATGTTTCTTTTAAAATTATTTATTTATTATTATTCCTCAGTACACCGCAGTTGATCAGACAAAAATTGATTGAATACAATCTACATGAATAACTGGAAAAGTTAACAGCCATGAATGTACATGTTTGCTGAACCTATGCTCTATGTAAGTTACACTTGGGAGAAAAAAATGAGCTGTTATATAGCTTCTGTAATCAATAAGTCTGAGAAAACCCAGTAGCATAAAGAACTGTCTAAATCACCTGCCATGAACATCTTCCATACATGTGTATACTGAAAAGTGGTGTATCAATACATTTTAAAAACATAGTTATTTCAGTTTCTGTCTGTCATAAGGACAGATTTAAGGGCCACTCACAGATCTCTTGATAACATCTGAGTGCATTCCATCTAAAATCAGGAGTAACTAACCGCAAAGCTCCTAAGGCTCTGCAATCTGTGAAACTCTGTTTCAGTTAAAAACTGAAGAAGCAACATATTAACATACTTAACTATCTGAAATGTTTTTCTTCCTTTAAAAGGTTATGAGTTTATGTGGTTACCACATATAAAAGAGTACTGATTTATGAACATTATTCTCATAGTGACCTTCTCTGAGAGGAAACTAAGTTTAGAGTATTTTATGCAATTTACACAGACATAGAGATTCTTACGGAATGTAAGCAGACTCTCACCAAGCTAAAGCACTGGCTCAGGGAAAGATTCTTACTGCTTATTAAAAACAACTCAATTTTCTTCATCCCCTTCCCTCTTCTCACCCCTGTCCCCACAATTTTAAAAAGACAATTCTCCTAATTAAGGAAGAAAATTATATATAAAATCAACATTCCTTTCAAAGCCGACATACATGATCACTTAAATGTGGCTGAGTGGGCTCCAGTTTGCACAGCATGTGTACTGATAAACTACATTTTATCTAGACACTCAGGGCAGAAAAAAACAAAACAAGAATTCCACAAAAACCTCTCCTTCTCAATAAGATCCTTCAGTATGCAAGATCTCTTACTTAACACCCTGGAGAAGTCTGTTACTGAGCAGAGAGGCACATTTTGTAAAACCACCAGGAGGCATGCCACATCGCACACGGTCACAGCCAGGCGGCAGGACACGGGGAGGGGCCAGACCCTGCCCCGGTAACCTCTGAGCAGCTGCAGGAAAGGAAGTGACTGCTGCTAGCATTCAAAAAAAAGCCAACCCCATTCTCCCATACCTGTACTGCATAACACACCTAGTTCCAAAAGCAACCTATTTAAGCAGAAAGACAGAATCTCCAGTTTAGCCTGGGTGAAACACTGACCAATGGGTTGGTGTGACACGCTCGTGCCATGGTTGGCCGTGCCAATCATCATGCTGGATGAAAAGGCTGGGAAGGCCCTGGCTTTTGAATGGCAGTTTAAAAGTGGACAAACGCCAAACTTGGACCCGTTTACAGCCTTCATTACCACTTTGCTCAAAAAGATTGCTTACAGTAAACACCAGATTACCATTAACCTTTTAAAAACTTAGCCATTACGCCCAACATAAAAATCTACCCATCCTTCATTCTTCCTTCTCCTGCTTGCCATTGTTTCATATTCATCTGGCAACGTCTTCCTGCCAGAGAAGTCTAGTTTAGCTTTTCTGTGAGGAATTTATCTCCAGCTAACATGCTGCACAAAGTGCAACAGGTGTTAACAAAGTGATGCAGCCGATACAAACCCCTGTATGCTGCTGATGCTGCCCATGCACTGCTGGCCCTCGTTGCTGCCTGGGTGGATGCCTGGCCCCTGCGCCACTCAAGAGGCAACACAAACCCTGACTAAGCTATACAGGTTCGCAGCCCAGTGGTGTGTAGCTGTGACCTCTCACAGCTTTTCAGGAGATCCCACTGGAGAAGGGAGGGCAAAGGCAAACAGGAATTATTGCTGTTTCCTTTGAACAGGGAAGAGCTGTGCAGAATAATATTCAAAATCAAATCAAACCCTATGTGCCCACACTGAGGCACTCAAGATGCTGAAGTTCCTTCCCTGATTTAAAAGGAAAATGACTACTGTGGAAGACACATACTACTTGTTTAATGGCAACTGACGTGTTTTATTTTTCAATTATTCCAGGTTTGCCAATGCTAGTAATTGTACAATACCTTTCAATAATTTCTTGCCCTGCTGGTGGGCTGCTCCTCTCTTTGAGACACCTGAGGCACAACCTCAGTTGGCTAAATGAAATATATTTGCATTACTCAGTATTCAACACGCCATCCACACAGCTGTTAAATTAATGGCCTTCCTCTCCCAGATAAATAAGCCATGTGAGGCAGCTGCTCCTGAAGCTCACACTGTATTGTACACACATGCACATTCCAGAAACAGGCTCCAATACAGAAGCAGTTAGACTTCATTGAACACCTTGGTAACCACCCAAGAGCACAAAGGAAGGACTTGGAAAAACATCTTTTATTAATGAACATGTGCAGTTAAGACAAGCAGCCCTGCTCCTAAAATTGCTGAGATCTTCCCGCTGCCTCTGTGATTCTCTATACATGCCCAATGTTTTTACTTGTGGGTTCGCAGGGATTAGCAGTGGTGGTTGTTGAATCAACTCGCACTAGAGACTGTATGGAAAAAAACTGTGTGCGTGTTAGATATATGCACATATGCATACACTTGTATATGTTTATATATAAAGTATTATATATATATATATATATTTATTTATGGGCACACTTAGGAGATGCTACACAGAAGAATAAACCAGCAGGAACAGCCTGAAATTCAACAAGCACCAACTCACAGTCCTGCACCTGTCAACAGACAGGCTGGGACCACAGCAGTTGGCCATCAGCTCTTGGGGACAGCCTCGGGCACTGGTGGGCAGAAAGCTGAGCCATGGCCAGACATACACCCAGGCAGCAACGAGGGCCAGCAGTACATGAGCAGCATCAGCAGGACACAGCCATGAGAGCCAGGGGATGGATCATCCCTCTACTGTGTGCTCACCAACACCTGTATTCCTGCTCTGAATGCAGGGAAGACACCAACAAAACTGGGAAAAGTTCATGGGAGGCTACCAAGGCAGCAATGCTGGAGCCCTTTCCCTGAGAGCAGAGGCTGTGGGACCACAGCTGATTCATCCGTGAGATGGGATGGCTTTGGAGGCATCCAACAGCATCTCCAGCACTGACAGGAAAGGATTGAGGCGATGTAGCTGGGCTCTCACATGGTGGGAGGCCAAGAGGCAGCAGGCACAAGTTGAAACATCAGATGTTCAGATGGAGATGACAGCCCAAAACCAGAGCCAGGGCCCAGAGTCGTGCTGTCTCCAGTCTTGGGAGTTTCAAACTCTGACTGCAAAGCCTTGGGCAACGTAGTCCAAGGCCATGGCCGTGTCTGTTTTGGGGAGGGACGTGGACCTCTGAAGGTCCTTGCTAACTTGCACGCACTGGTGACTCTATGGAAGTAGTCAGAACAGGCTGAGTCCTTATCCTACCCTTATGCTCTTCTGTGTAGAATTAAGGAATAAAAGCATGAATTAAAAAGCTGGAGCTCAAAATAAAACAAAATATCATCAGTAATGAAGGAAACTCACTTGTACTCCAGACTGGTGTCAAAGCAGCAGGCTTCCAGCACATCCAAGGACTTCATTAGAACTAAGTTCATCTGTTGCCCCGGTACATCACTACAAGACCAAACCAAAACAGAAACAAAAAAAAAATAATTCAAAACACAGCTCTGCTCTTTAAATCATATAAGTTATTAAACCTCCTGCTAAGACTGAACGTGACAGTAAACAGAGGTTCTTTTCTTGCTGTAACAGGTTCTCATACTAGTCTGTAAGCAATAACTATATAAGTCGTCATTTGTGTCACATTCATATAAACATACTCATATACAGATAATAAAAACCTATTCAGACCATACCTGGCAACTGTTATTGCTACAATACCCAGAAAGAAACTCAGCACCCAGGATTTGTAAAACATGACTGACAGTAGGAGGAGCATACTAATAGAATATGACCTCAGCTAGACCTGCAATTACAAGCTGAAAATGCATGACATTTTAAGATATTAACCCCGTAAATCTCTCTCCCCATCTCTTTGCCTAACTTACTGATAAAAAAGGAAGCACTTAAATCTCACTCCAAAGATGTGATAGGGACTCCCCTCTTACAAAACATGTATACAGGTTTCATAATGAAAAGGACATCTTCAATGCAAATAAACACTACGATTTGATATTACCTATAGCTACATCCTTACAAGTTTTGCTGTTGTTACAAGTCAATGTTTAGAAGAAAGTGTAAGATTAAGCTTTGAAATTATGCAGGGCAGTGGAAGAGTAAAAAATGATGAAGTCTATAAGAAACTTTTTGATAAATTTATTAATGTCAAGATCGCTTGCCAAACAAACAAACAAACCTCAAAACCCCAAAATAAAGATCTGCATACTCCGAAATACCAAGCTGATCTAACGTCATTCTCCTCAAAAGCCTTCTAATGGTTGTGTGTACCTCAGTTGTCACCACTGACTAGTCACCTGTCCATCCCCAAATTATGTGCCTAAATTAGAGGCAGCAAGGCATCAAGACACCAAAGCACAAAGACTAGAACAGAGCAATGCTGCACAGTGTTTCAACAAAGGCAGTGCAAGGGAAACATTAGCTTTGCTGAATAAATTAACAGCTGACAGCCAAATCTATTTGATACTTGTGCTTGTTTACCAACTAAACATTTATTATGCGTATATAGGCAGACAGAATCCCTAGCAGTCAAGAAGCTGGAGGAGTATTGCAACTGAGGCCAACCCTTCCATAAAGGAGGCATTTTTTACGAACTTCAGAACATCTCTTTGTTGCCAACATAGCTGTAACAGCACACCTTACAAACAGCCCGTTACACTACTTCTTGTAGTTCCATCCCCATGTGTGTAACTCACTTGATGTAAGTGGGCACTAATCCAGTGTTCAGAGCACCATTTAGAACAGAACCAATGAGAACTGTGAATTATTCTACAATCAAGTCTCCTAGGGCAGCTAATCCCCTTTAAAAACTTACGTGTGTCTCTTCCAGCTGATTGCTTTGCATGTGTACCTGAGGATATTATGAAAATTAATAAATCATGCTGGAAAAATGGCAAAATATCTAGGACAGCACGGGGCGCATGGGTGGTGAAGACTCATAATAAAAAACACCTTTTGAGAAGTATTGCAAAGCCCCTCAAGAAGCATTTGCCTATGACTTAATGCCACATGCAGGAGAAAGAAGGAAGTTTTTTGCACACCTACATTACATACAGTAATCCTTACCTGACTTTTTCTTCATACAAATGTGAGATAAACATCCCCAAGCCAAGGCCCATGTGGATTTGAACAGCTTGAGACTCATCAGCATTTGGTTTCCCAGGTAACCTGTCAGTCAGCATATTCAGGACCTCCTCAATCTTCTCCTTGCATGATACAATGAACACTGGCACCAGAAGAGACAAAGCAGTGGCCGCACAGGAACGAGCTATAATACTAGCAGTGTTTTCACCTGAATAGGATTTCTAGAAAAACAAAAAATATTTTTTTTCTTTTTCTTGTGGGAGAGGGAAATAAAGTCCCTTTCCAGGTAGTAACACTCAGTGCTTTAGGAGTTAAAAATAAATACCTATATAGCAAACAGCAGCACAGATTTATTGCAATCTGGCAATAAACAGTATTTCATGGAATTGCATATGGTAACTTTTTGTCCTGGTTTCAGCTGGGACAGAGTTAACTTTCTTCACAGTAGCTAGTAAGAGGCCATGTTTTGGATTTGTGCTGAGGAGAAGGCTGATAACACACTGATATTTATGGTTGCTGCCAGGACAGTCACAGTCTTTCCGGTTTCTCTGTTGTGCCAGTGTCTGCAGGTGCAGGAAAAGCTGGGAGGGAGCACAGCCCCAATTACTAGCCTAGGATTCCACCTTAGCTTTAGGATCGAGACCCAGATTGGCCAATGGTATATTCTGTATCATGCACGTCATGCCCAGTATATTGACAAGGATCAGTCTGGAAGTACTCTCTCTTGCTCTGGGTTGTCTCCCTCTGGGTCACCCCTCTCTCAGGGTCGTTTCAGTATCTCAGGCTCTTATCTCCATTCTGCGATTGCAATTTTGGGACTCTCTCTGCTCCCCGATCACTAACTGGGAATGGGCCGAGCCTTGGTCACTGGGTGATGATCAGTTTCACTGTGTATCACTCATTTGCTTATTTGTACATATTCCTATTATTATAATCATTATTATTATTTTCAGTACTATTGTAGTTTAGTTATTAAATTGTTCTTATCTCAGCCCATGAGTCTCTTTACCACTTTAATTCTCTCCTCAGTCTGCGGGAAGGGGGAGAGTGAGTGACTGTCTGTGTAGCGTTTGGCCCTCAGCCGAGGTAAACACTATGACACCTTTCCATTTGCCTTACCTTTCAAACAGCTTAAAACTAGGATAATCCACAATATAATTTTAAAGTAAACAAAATTGTTAAGTATGAAACTGTAAACAAAGAATTAGAAAGGATGCAACTAGAATTTAACAGCTGGTCTGCACATAAATACATCAACCTATTTCAGTTTTCACCTTTCCTGTTAAAATATCCAGCAGTGTGATCAGAAGGGCAAACAGAAACCAGCCATGATGTTAATGTACTTCTGTAATTATAACACACCAAGAACTTAGCGAGCTGTAAAAAGCAGTACCTTAAAAGCATCACATGTAGGAAGACAAAATAGCATGAGATCTTGCAAGACAACCAGTAGAGATGCTTTCTAGAAGAAAGATCCCTTACAAAGGTTCCTAATTACTTTCCATTTTCAAAGGTAAAATCCATACAGCTACCTGTACTTATAAAGCAATGGACTGATTGTAAGTAATAGCCTAATGTATATTCATCAACTTCTACATGCCACTCTGAAAGGGAAAAGAAAAAAAATCCCATCAGGATGCAAGGCACTCTGCAAGACAGTGATTTCTATTCTGTGCCTTTGAATTTTACAAGCATAAGATTTTTTTTTTTTAAGAGAGGATTTTAGACATGAAACATCATCACACTGTTCCATCTCAAAAGCACCTTTTTTAAACAGCTTTATTTTCAAAGGCAGGAGTCACAGAATACTTTGACAAGAACTGCTAGTACCAACCAAGTAGTTCAATCTCCTTACATCCAACCAGTCTAGCGTTTATTTAACACTACATTTGATTTGGTGATCTATGTCCTCTATCAGTGATGACAAGGGTCACATGCCAGAGATGACCCAGGTCCATCAGTAATTTTCAGCTTTTTGATGCTAACATCTCACTACTGGACTAAATGCAGTTCATGAATGCAGTTAATGAAGCTCTGGATAGAAAACATTATGATACTTATCAGGCTGGTATTTGGCCTTGTGGGACCCAAGTTCCTTTCTGCATCCATGACATGAAGAAACTCTAACCCAGTCACTTTGGTCACAGATAGTCAAGAGTTAGCAGTACCTATTCCTTAAGGTCTACACTGAGCTTTCAGTACATCTCCAGGTCCTATTTTAAGAACTGCCTGATTGAGAATTTCGGGCTGATTATCACACTGCAAGCACATATGATACAATCTCTACTGGCCCTCAGGGGTTCAAGAGGTACTGAAGAACAAAAATAACTGGCTCCATAACTATTAGATTTTGAGAAAGTACGCATTTCAGAGCCCTAAGAAATGGTGTCAGAATTACTCAGGAGTTTGATAGTGTAGTCTGAGGAGAATTTGTTCATGTTAGAAGGTTTTGTATACACATGCCAAATATTCTAGGTTTTGAAGTGTCTTTTTGTTTTTAAAATATCCTTCACTCATGTATCCTCACATGTGGTTTTTACTGTTTCGGTAATAAAGACAAAAACTCAAGGCAAACCCAAATACAAGCAGAAAACACAATGAAAGAAAAAGAACAAAAGTGAGAAAAGTTTTGATTTTCCTGTATGACAACTACTACAGGGCAAAGAAAACCAGGAAATTCCCCATTAAGAACTCCAGGTATGAAATACATCGATATTCTCTTACCTTTAATACCACAAACGTACCTGGTAGAACCATGGGAAGACTTGACCTTTAGGGTGATAACGGCTATTCACAATACTAAAGAGGGTCTCTGTGACCATTGAAATCCAGTGTTTTGTGGGAAGAAAATCAGGTTCAGTCTGCAAAAATCAAACCCAAATATTTGTTATTTTTTCTTAAATCAGGTCCTACCTGAACAGATGCTCAGCAGCTGATGTTCCAGCTATAAACCATCAGGAATGAGATTATTTTGTCATTCTTATGTACAATAAGTAGCATGATTTATTTGACAGTGATAACCCTCCAGACACTATTTTTGACCAGGTACTATTCAGTGAACGCAAAAATTATGAGAAAAGTGGCTGGCTGGGTTTCAGCGTCCACTAGACCTATATCTTATCTGTCAGAACCAACAATAAATGTGTTGGTCATTATGTTTCTTGTGAGAAGGTGCCTATAAATTCTGACTGCTTTTGCATAGATCACACAGCAGCTATCAGATGGCATTCACTGATTGGGGTGAAATGTGAACTTCAAAATGTGAAGTACTTCATATGCACTTACCAGCCTCCCAAACACCTGGTCATATTGCCACACTACACTCCACTAAGAGTACAGAATCTCTTTTCCAGATTGACTCACCTCAGGCATCCCTTCAGTGTCTGAGGAAAGGCTGCTTTCGTATTTGGCTACAGCAACTGCAAGACCAGTTAAGGCAAAAATAGAGTTTCCCTTCACCACTGGGCTGTCTCTGGACAGAAAAAGGCAAACAGTTAAGAAGCTTAATAGAGATGCATGCAACAAAACAATGTATCTCAATGCAGGGAAGTTATGCTACAGCTGGTCCAGAAGGGAAGGCCTTTGCACCTAACAACTTCAATGGGATGCTTTCTACCACATTTCATCTTCAGGAATTAGAAAAAGAATAAGAGAGAATAAGAGAGAAGCATTTCAGGTTTTTTTCTCATTTGTCTTTTATATAAAGCCTAGCACACACAAAGTTGTATAAAAACAGAAACTTGCTTCCACTATATTGAGGACTGCTACCCTGCAGAGCAAGCAGAACTCACAGAAATACACCAGTTAGTCTTAGCTAGTACCATCTCTACACAGGACAACACAAAAAGCTCTTGAAACAGAGAATGCAGGTGCTACTTCACTGCAACAGCATCTGTTCAGGAGATTTGGCAGAGCAGCCATCACTGAAATCTCAGCTTAAAAAAAAAAAAAAAGCCTCTAATTACTCACCTAATCTATGAAAACGTTAACATCATGGAAAAACGACAAGTTTGAAAAAGTACTAACTTCTACCACAGTGCAAATCTTTACTTTTAAGGAGCTCAAGGAAGAAAAGTCTGCCACCTACAAATAAGAGACAGACTGTAACTCTGTTGAGTTTAATGAAAAGATAGATGTCAATATCCCAGTGATTCCCAGAAAAACATATTGCAATATAATAATTGTTTTACAGCAGCTGAACAATACAACTGTACTAGACCACTCACAGTCTTACATTAGAACAGTTTGCAGTGCACTATGCTTTTTGCATCAACCTTCCGTTTCCAAAAACTTCCTCAGCTGATGCTGTAAAAATACACCTGCACTGCAAATTTAGGCATTTGTTCCAGATCCAAAGATCTCATTTTAACAATAAAAATATTTTCTAGATTTACGGTTTGCTTTTAAAAAGAAGATACATAGGTCTTAGTGGAATGCCACTGATCTCTCCTATTTAAAACACAAACTATTTCCTTTCAGACAAGAGATACCTACAAATAATTTCAACCAGGTGCTTAGCTATGTTCTTTGAAATCTCCCTGTATCTCTTGCCTTAAATAAGTTAGAGTCATAGAACGGTTTGGGTTGGAAGGGACCTTAGAGATCATCTAGTTCCAACCCCCCTGCCTTCCACTAGACCAGGTCGCTCAAAGCCTCATCCAGCCTGGCCTTGAACACCTCTAGGGATGGGGCATCCACTTCCCTGGGCAACCTGTTCCAGTGCCTCACCACCCTCACAGTAAAGAATTTCTTCCTAATATCTAGTTTGAATCTGCCCTCTTTCAGTTGATATCCATTACCCCTCATCCTGTCGCTCCATGTCCTTAAGGTCCTAATCTATGTATAGAACCTTTGTTGTTATTGATCATCAACTTTTCAAAGACTACATTTCATGATGGACCTGAAACAGAGAGAAACTTCTAAATCTACACACTCATGAAAGCTGGATCCTTCACATTTAATGAAGGTAAAAATCATAATTCCAACAAGCCCTAGGAGGAAAAAGAACAGTATCTTACTCTTTATTGAAAATACAGGAAAAAACCACAATATTTTCTTAAAAGAAAGTCAGTAAGCACAAGAAGTTCTAGAGACATGATCTATGCACAGGAAATCCTTCTGCTGTTACCTAAAGAAAATTCACCACTCCCTCCCAAATCAGGCAATGCTTTTATCTCAACTAGTTTTGCTAATGAACTTCTATAACTAAAACCATAATTTTAATTCTGAAACACAGAATATGACATATTTAAAGTTTATTATTTCCCTTTATCTCTTTATACTACCTTACCTTAACACAGGTATTTATTTATTCAGTAGCTAAAATATCAAACAGATCTTCCAATTTCATCCCTCTTTAACTGACTCCTTCAAAATGACCAACATGCAAGAAAACAGAACAGCTGGGAATATTTTAAATATCTGAACAAGGATAAGTTAAAAAAAGTTCAAACCCAACACATCTTAATCAAAATCTCTAGAACGCTCAACTCGCAAAAGTATTTAAAAATAATCTTTTATACATTATACAATTTTGAATTGCTCTGTGAGATTTCACTCTAATTCTTTCACTGATTACATCTTTATGATTTAAGATTTTCTAAGTACTTGTTCTTATGAGGATTCACTATTTCTGATACTTTTGCTTAACCTGGTGTAAGTGGCCAATTTCATGTTAACCAAGGACAAAGCATAATAGGAAACTATCTGCCAGTGGAGAGCGAAAGGAAGAAGCCAAATGGCTTTAGCAGCCTAGGAAGGAAGGTTAAGATACTTATTCTAATAGCAAAAGAACAAGCCTGTCATAATCTGCAAACATGTAATTTCCTGCCTTTGGAGGGCCTCTGGGCACAAGGCACCTTATCAGAAAGTGGGACAGTTTTGAAGGGCCCATACTCCACTAAAGACCAGCCAACTTCTAGATAAATGAAGCTACTCAACATAAACAGTCTGTTAGTTAACAAAAAACTCCACGCTAATAGAGCATATAGCACTACCCAGGCTTTACTCAAAACATTAGGCATCAGCCTTTCTAATAGACACAGTCAGTGGTAAAAGTCTCAAATCACAAGGTGGGGAAGAGCTCCTTTCCTGAACAGCAGTCATGTGAAATCATGAAACTGGCAGATAACTAATTGCAGAAAATATTATCTTACATCCATCTGCCACAAAAGAGAACTCATTCTCCTCTGTAATAAATTAGCAGTTCTTACTTGGAGGCACCTTTGATGACATCGGTCAACATATCTCTGACCCTGCAAGAGAAACAGAACTTACACTATGTTCATTATACTACAGCATGAACTCAGCTAATTTCACCTTATATCTTACACGTGTCCATTCTATGTTAACAATTATCATATCTATCTATCAGAAGACCTAGAACAAATTATTCATAAGCATTAAAATTGTAAAAATGCTTACATACCATGCAATATTTCTTCATGTTCATGTGTACTACCAATGTTTTCTAAAGGGCTCTTATCTGACTTAATAGCACTTTTTGTAGAATGCAGGTTCATGCAACAGCCATAAATCTGTTTTTTGAGATGTTACATGTAAGTTTCCAGATCAGTGTGCTAGATCTTACCATAACAACATGAGAATGTTTCACAATGGACAACTATAACAATTTATCCAACACTTGCTATACTCCTGGAAACCACTAGGGGCAGTTACACTATGAGGCAGTATAGTAACCAGATTCCATTCAAATGAAAGACATAGGAGCAGTTAAAATTTCTTACACATTACTGCAGTTGATTCATAATAGGCTATTTGTCTGCATTTGTTTAGCTTTTTTTTGACATCAAGACAGAAGCAGAGATGCAGTGAACCGTCTATATTGCCAGGTCTGGGCAAGGAAGGAGATCCTCTATACTACAACATACACCACCATCCTGGCAATGACTGTCATCCTACAGAAAAAGATACACTCCAATCACAGTTCCACAACATGTGATTAGAAGACTAATAATGTATGCCTTGTAAACTAGGAACATATGTTATAAGACCGAGTTACACTTGGGATTTAAAAGAAACCTACTCAGGCTTTCCACCATAACCATACTGGTTTTGCACACGGCTTCAAACTCACCGACACTAGAAGCACATCAACTTGTCAAATACCAATGCAAAAATGCACAGCACTTACACTATAAAGCATTAACACTAAAGTTTTACCAAGCTGTCCACAATCAGGTTAAACCCAGTGGGAAACACAAATGCTTAATGGTTACGGAAGTTAGAGCCCTGAAGCACCACGCAATTAAGGGGGAACAGGAAAAGACATGAAAACTAATACTGGACTCCCAGTTCACTTACTGCTTTGATTTCTCTCCTATTAAAGGGAACTCTGTTTTTTGACATAGCTTACATTAACACTATTTAGGAAATACAGAGCAGAAATTGGTTCAGGAGAAATCTACAAAAGCAGCATTGCTATACACATTCTTCTCACTTGGAAAATGTTTTCTCTTTATACCCTATGAAGAAAGGGATTGGGCAGAGCAACAACAGAAAATTGTGCCACTACTACATAAAGAATCTCTTCTACAATAGCATATCATTCTGGATCTTACTATGAAACTCTTTAATCTAGACCTGGCTGTTATAAAACAACAGACACTAATTTTGTATTCCCCTTGAGTTAGACTTGGTAACGCCTTTTACACTGAAATGGGCAAAGGGCATTTTGGTTTTGTTTGTACATACATTGTTCCCAATGTGCTTATGAACAAGCACAGAAACTGATATTTATACTGTCCATGGAAAATGTATTTCTTTCTATCCATTAAAGCTCCCACTTCCCACCTTGTCCCCATGGCCATGCACATACACAGCTAAATCCTGACAGACTGAGAGACATTCCTCAGATGACTGAATAGAAGTAGTTGAGGATATGCATCAGGGTGCGCATCATGTGCCTGCTTTTAAACATCATCCTCAGGCTGAACATTGCCAACTTACCATACAAACTGAGGTGTGTCTCAGTTCACTACAACAAACATCATACCATGGCTTACATTTCTTTTATCAAGACATTTTCAGTGAGACATCTCACTTTAACTATACAAGTAAGTTTTGCTCTTTGCATAATCCTTCAGTTTTAACATGACAAAAAGAAAATACAGTTTTCCATTCCTTCCAGTTGCTCACCCTACAAAATTTCAGACACTGTAGAGGGGAAATTACCTGTGAACCTGTGCATATGGGAATCCTTACAGACAGTTACTCAGTAGTCTCCTTCCTGCTCCCTTCTCCCGCCTTGGTCACTGCTGTATCTGTTAGCTTTTTTTTTTGTTTTTTTTTAATTAGTGCTCACACAGTTTTTAAACTTGCAAAACTAAAGGCTTTGAAGTCTTGCCCTCCTCTGACCCCTCGCTTGCGATTACAAGTGATCAGGAGCAGACAGGCACTTCCTTACCACAGCCAGGCTGTAAATTGTTTGTACTGCACCTCTTCAGGATCCTCTTTTCCATGTTTTAACTGCATCTCCAGCTCCGCCTGCCTCCCCTGCAGAATTACAGAATAAGTCAGTAAGTGGATCTTACATGACCAATCATCATAAGACTTCTTCAGAGAACACTTAAGTAATGGATGTAGCCTTTTACTTGAGAGCTACTTCATAAGTAAACTTCACTGCTTTTCATACAGGATCTCACTGTAATATGCAATATATTAAGAATTATTATTTTTTTTTCTGATTGAGGAAAACAAACTGCAGATGGCATCAACGACAACAGGTACTGAGACATTTCTACTAGTCCATACAAAGAGACAAGTTCCCTTGGGAAGGGGTACAACAAGCAGGGAATGAGATTGGAAGCCTCCTACCTAAAATAGATTCTAACAGCAAAATATCACTTTCTTGATTCACTGCTTAAAGCAGAAATCCTCATCCTTTCCCCTTCCATGATCCCAACCTTCCTGTGACCTTCTACAACAGTTCTTTCTGTATCTTAAAGGAGATTATATGGATTCTGGCCTCTAACAATTGCGATTTAAACATATTAAGCAGCTTTGCTTTCATGTTCAGTCTCCAACTGCATGACAACTACATCCTAACTTGTTTAGGTTGTCCGTTTCTGCTCCTTAGTAGGTTACTAAGCCGTAAGAAAAAAATATAGGCACATAAGCTGTGTTTTTCAGGTATTGAATGCTTGTAGTTTGGGTGTGGATAAAAACCTGAGAATATAAGAGAGTCAACCCTGTAAATCCAGATGTCACTCAAAAGGTCACTCTCCACAAAGATTACAGAAGTATACACAACACACTGACTAAAGAGAAGGATGCACAAAAACTATGCAAAAACCTACCGCGATTTCCCCAAACATAAATATTTGCATAAGTTCTGTACTAAATCAAGATGTGTAGGATCATCAGGATGAGGTTGATTTAAGTGTCAAAAATATGCTGAACACACAAACTGGCAGAAGTGCTTAAGCATGTGAGTAGCCATAATAAAAGACAAGAGGACCTTCAGGTGGGTCCGAAGGGAAAAAATCTTCACACAAGTGTTTTAGTCAACTGGTCTCTATGAACATCTGCCTCCAAAACGTAGAAATGACTACACTACTATCTGCTCAAACTGAATTATATACTATACCAGACTACTCATCTTATACTGTAGTCTCTTTTGGCCATCTCCAATGAAATGTACTATAGAAGTATAAGGTGTAAGTAAAGATACTAGGTCTCCAGTGAGGGATTTCAGAAGCAACAAAAATAGGCTCTATTGCCCTGTAAAATTGCACTAAATCCTAGAGAGGCTTTTAGAAACAAGTCTGGTGAATGTCAAGCTTTTCGTGAAGTCTTGACTCAGAGCGGAAACAAAATTCGAGAGTAATTAAATGCAAGCAACAATGGCCCCCTCTGTAGTTACAACCTAAAATTACAATTTGAATAGCTACTGCCTGCTTTGAAATGGGGCTGGCTCAGCTGAGAATCTGATATTTTGCTGATGGACAAGATAAAATTTGTTTTGAAAATGTTAGAGAAGCATATGTTTTGCTGCACAGCCAAACAGGGAACAGTAAAAGCTTCTAGAATTCGTTCAGCAACCCGAGCTGCTCACGCTGAAAACAGCTGATGTCGACTGGAAACACAAACAAAGGCAGCCTTCCAGTACCACACAGAGAACCTTCTAGAAGACAGGTATTTGTTAAATGTTTTTTAGATCATTTTCTGGTTGAAAAACCAAATGACACTACACTTCCCTGGATATCAGGTCATCTAACCCAATGAAAGACAGGTTTTAAGATATTTCCTGATCACTATAGGTGGTAAAATCAAAAGATGAGGCCTTCACACTGTGACAGCATTACATGCTGGTTAACTGAAGTTCTGTTTAATGAATTATTCTTCGATAGCTTCTGTCTCCTTTGTGATACTATTATGACAAAATTCCTACCCAAAATAATAGGTTAGAGCACTAACTAAAATTTCATATTCTAAAAATTCTAGGAATCGATACATTCTGCAACTTGACACAGGAACAAGACTGCAAGAACCTCAACTGTAAGCAGAACTTATAATTATACAAAGTATCACAGATTGTGCTACCATTAACTAAAGATCCATTTTATTTTTATCCCTCTTTCATAAATTTTATTATTAGATAAATCAAGCTGTATATTTAAATTACTGTAACTTGCATGGATGCTCTTGCTGGTAAAAATAAAACTCATAGCACTTGAATGAGCATTAACATGCACAATATTATGTACCTCAAAATTACCTGTAAGATTGCATTGTAGGTTCGACTCATAAATCCTAACCAGGACTGTGGCAGCACCATGGAGCGGTGCCATTCGGAAGGCTGAATGTTAACCTGTGCAACACACCAGAAAGGGTAGAAGTGGTTATAGTAATTCTAACATATGCAGAATACATGTTCTCCAACCTGTGAATTGCAGGCAGTAACATACACACACCCGTAGGACATTATACACAGCTGTAGGAAACTAAAATGATAATATACTTCCCCTTTCTGGTTTTACCCACACTAAGTTACTTTCAACTTCATTACCCAAGTCAGACAAAACTGGTTGCTTCACATAGTTCAACAGATAATTGATTCCAGAGAAAGCAGTGGAATTATATTTGGCAATAACCACAATACTTACTAGCACTGGTAGACAAAAATACATACATAACAAAGATGGTAGTGTAGTTGATGTCTGTTATAGTTTTTGTAAATCTTAGGTGCTTCTATAAAAGCTTTAAACAGACACTTAAATACAAGTAGATGAATATGTAAATACAGGGGAGATTATTCAAAAGGAGTTAGCATCCGTGACTGGGTTATACGTAACTATGCTCACGTACATGGTTCAAACTTCCTTTACGGAAAGGAATTGTTAAAAAAATAAAGGAATTACAAAGCTCCTTTTTAGGAAGCACCAGGATAGAACTAACAGGAGGAAAACAACACCAGCTCAAACATAGTTTAAAGGAATATGCAACAGCTCTCCCTCTCTGCCTCCCAAACTCACTCAGGTATGACAGCCTCAACTGTACAACAGAAGAGTAACGCAGTCAACTACACAACGTACGTGCACACTTTCCTCAGGAGCCCAAGGTTGTTCTCAGTAAGCACCACAGCAAAACTGACTCTAAGACTTTTTCAAAGCATGTTGAGAAACAGAAATAAAGTCAAAGGATCTCAGTAACAAGCCATTTTCTATCCGTTGGTAGCTTAACAAAGGTATTACAGGGGTAAGTTAAACAGAATGGGTCACAAATTCAAGGACACAAGAAAGTTTCTCCAGACATCAGAGTCCTGCATGATATATGTATCTCTCTGTCCGCAATTTACATGTTATGCAGTTTATAAATCAAAATACATTAATTCACAAAAAATGTGTATCACAGCTAATTAGAAGAGTCTATTTCCCTGTCTCCATGACAGTCGTAATTGCAGCAATATTTTATTAAAGTAAAACAGGAGTTTAGGTGTCCTCTTCTTTTAAACTGCTGCGTTTTCAGACCCACAAACAACATAAGCTCTGTAATGAAAATGATGGCTGTGTGCATTGTTATATCTCATCACATTCCACAGTGGGCATACAGAGTTGATTTTGCCTGCTACTGTTCAATTATTTCTACTGTCTGTCTCTACCAAAAAGATGAAAACACACAGACACTTGGAGTCACTTGGAAATAAGTTATTTAATGACAGCACTTTCCAGGATAATCAGTTTTTAATAAAGGAAAGGCAAACATGCCAGGCTGAGGTGAGACGGGATACATATCATTGTCCACTGTTTAAGGCCTATGCTTTCTAGTTCTAAATTAAAAGAACATGCTAGACTCCCTGAGTCATGGAAAAACCTTGTGAGCTGTGATAAAAAATTGTGCAAAACCCACCTAGAGTGACTAATCTTGCCAGGCTTAATCCCAGAAGGTTGTTATTCTTCCTTTTTATTCCTCCCATTTTATTATGGAGACTAGTCGCTGTTCACATGTAAAACATTTCAGGCCTCAAAGTAAGCAAAACCCTCTTTTCTCCATCATGTGCTCCGTTGGCCTCCTCTGTACAGAATGGCTAACCAAGATAAACAACTGAACTCCCATTTCTGTTAATTATCTTGCTAAATCCTCATGCTTAATCTCCTCTATTTTATGGCACTCACTATCTACATAAAGCAGTCAGTACTCTTCCTGTACGTGGATTTTACAACAAAAAACAAAGGACCACGCTAAGGCTTCATGCCCACTGTCAGGTGTGAACTTAAAACAGTTTTGAGTAAGTACTAATACATTTATAAAAATAAATACAACCTAAAAGTCAACCAATCGAAAGAGATTAACTACTCCACCCTACAGCCAATAAAAATACACCCTGCAGAAAAAAGAAATCTCATCTTTAAATGACTCAGTAATACTAGTCCTTCCTTTTTAACCAAAATTGTATCCACAAACCCCTTTCATCTCTGCTCATCAATTCCTCCAACAAGTTGATGAGCAGTCATGGCTCCAGTCAGAATAGTTTGCCTTAGGTTTCTGCAGCGACTCCAGTCTTCCTCTTTGCCTCTACTCTAAAATTATTTTAGACTTGTGCACTTATATTTGTTTGGGCTCATGGTGATCTATGAAGTTCACTATGCAATCCACACTTGTGCACCAGACACTACCTGCTTATGCGGGAAATAAAAAGCTTCAGGTATACTGTTCCCTTTAAAACAACTAGACAACTTGGTCTAATCAGGAACCTATCATTAGCACCTTGCACATCTTATCTAAAATTTTCAGATGTGCTTGATGACCTGCAGAACTGCTACGCAGCTTTTGATTAACTAACTTTCTTCACGGCAGTAAACATTTTGCAGATACATGGAATGAGACGAAGACAAGAGGGAACAGAACATCTTCACATAACAAAGAACACTCAAGCAAAATTCATCTACAACTGAAAATAATTGGACATAGTGCTGAAGATTATCACATAAGCAGCGCTGATACCCGCTATTTCAGTACAGGAAACCAGCAGTCTCTACTTCTCTATCACTGGATACACAATGATAACAACAACATTGGTTAACCAATACTAGCAAGCACAAACAAACCTGACAATAAGTGAAGTTCAGATTTTTTTGAGTGCACAATTTATGTGTAAGAAGATATTGAGCAGGGGCGGGGAAGGCACAGGGAAGGAGGCTCAAAGGACTTGCGAATCCATGACGAGTGGTTGTGAAACACTGCCACACTGGCCCTGGGATGCTCTTAGGAGGCAGCATAGCCAGAGCAGGCTGCCAAGTAGTTTTCAAGAAAAGAGCTGCAGCCTGACATCTGAGGCAATAAGAAACAGTATGAGCTAGGAACTAGTAACCCGAGCCGGTTAACTGATGCTTAAAAAGGACGTCTCCCTGAAAAGACACACAAGCATAGACTGTGTTGGCCAAAACCCAAGACAGGCAACGCTGGCAAACCACAGGAAATATTACTCCTGTACTTCAACACTTCTGAATACACATGGGACAAGTTTTGCATGCTTCTGCAAGGCTGGAAATTTCAAATGAAATCAGAAGCTCATTCCCCCTCTCCAGTGCACTCCCAATAAAATCAAACACCATGGCAAGATCTGGATAAGCTTTCGTTCAGCACTGGTGCCTTTGTGCTGCCACAGATCTTTGCATATCGCTCACTTGTTGTGCACTGATATATAGCCAGCAGAGAGCACACAAAACAGATTTATGGAACAGGAAATTAAGCATGTTTCTGTCACTTCCCTGGATACCTAATTGAGATAATACTGTTTAAAGAACCTAGAAACTATGGTATCATTAATGATATCTTAAAATCTGCTGTAGAGCAGAGAGACTGGGAATCACAATAAGTTCTTTTACTAAGTATAACAGCTTTCCACCTCACTAGCCCTGCCACGTGGTCCCTAAATTCAGCTCATCTCTAACAAACGTGTGGCTGCAAAACTGGTTTAGACCATATGTCTATGCCAGTGAAATGTTTAGGCATGTATTTAATGCCCTTCTCACATATGGAACATACAAACTGTAAGCCTCAGTGATTTCATAAATAAGGTGAGCATTACGTATCTGTACCAATGAAATAGTGAAACAGCATCTCTTTTCATATCAAATTTTGCTTGGAGGCTCTTTTTAACATACTTGCATGCATAAACTTCGAAATCCTTTCCCCAGCATTCCTTTGTGAGAAAAAAATTATCAGTCTTTCTTGAAGGCACACTAGATTGAGGAGGAGAAAAGCAAAAATCCGTCAACAAACTTACTTCCTGAATACTGTTTCATCACTGGAAGAGATACAATCAGTAAATTCAGTACTGGAAACTAGCACAAATTAGTTCATAATCTGAATTACATCCACTGAAATACCTAGGCACAGAAGAATACACTACAGTGAATTCTGTTACAGCAAATCCAATTATCATCTTAAGGTGCTTCACATATAAGGTTTCAGTCAGCTCTTGAATCCCTTAAATGCATCACAATCAATCCAGCACAGAGAAGTACAAAAGGAGTCTTCCACTTCCAGTGCTCAAAGATGCATCTCATCACAGCGCATCTACGAATACACTTAAAATAGACCCAGGGAATGCTGCTTCCATGAGTATACAGAGTACCTAACATGATTATTATTTGTAGAACGGTATTTAGTGCTGTACAAGTTGCCACTTGCATCCAACCCTCCAATTGTGCCTGCAAATATTACTAATTATTAGGGCAAAATAACTGTGCTATTTCCAACACACAGAAAGCATTTGAATATTGAGAAACGTGCAAAGCTAAGACCATCCTCCTTCATTTTAAAAACAGTGCACCAGTCCATACTGTCAAAGCCACCATTCGCCACATCTGTGTGCCAAAAGCAGGCTGCCTCTGTGCTTTCTGCATATAGCATGAACTGTTCCCTTCACCAAAAGAAAAGATGGGTAGCTAGCTGAAAGCCTAACAATGTTAACCCAAAATATGTATTTACAGAACCATCAAAACACGGCACATGATGTGAACATATGTGACTATTCATCTTAACTCATTTACACAACAGAGATAAGTGAAGCGGGTAAGAGATTATTCCTATAAACTCCTAGGAAGAATTACTCCAAAAACTGAAAGAGTCACAGATAATTATTAGCTCATCTAGCCCAGGTGACTCTGACAAACCCCAGGGACTTCTTGTATGGTATCATCCAGGCAGCCGTAGAGAAAACAAAGAAAATCCATGGTCTGTGTGACTTCTGACCACTGTGACTACAGTAACTTATACGTCCTCTAAAAGAGAGGTTAAAAAGTTCTGTTTAGTAACCAATCAAACAGCACATCTCTGTTTTTGGGGGAAAGATGATCTTTCTCT